CACATTCTTCATTTGATCAATATTAGATACATGTCGCGATCTCGTGAGTTATAATTTTGTTTACGTGTCATGCTGATATAAAAACGCCTATAATTTGAAAAATTTAATTAGATTTTAAATTATGTCTCACCCAAATATTTAATATTATTTTAGTATTATATTTTATTAAATATTCAATTTATTATATTTATTTTATACTAAAATTATCTCATACACGTTATTTTAAATTTATAATATAAAAATTTAGAAATGTTACCTATTTTAGTAGAACAGTTTTTTTTCTTTTTTAATTAGTCTATAATCTTTGTTTAGACTATATTTGCTTATTTTCTTTTTAAATTTATTTGCTAATATTAGAAATATTAAATATTTTAGTAGAACAATTACATATTTCATTAAAACAATTTTTTTTCTTTTCCTTAATTAATCTCTTCTCCTTGTTTATATAGATTCTTTATTTTTTTTATTTTTTTTTGTTAATATTGACACATGTCACAATTTTAATTAACAATTACACATGTCATGATCTCGTGAATAAGAATTTTACTTATATGTCGCGTTCTCATCGTACGCATTCTCCTTTATATAATAAGATTTACAAATGAACTCTATTTTTTTATTTTCTAAAATATCTATAAATAAGTATTATTTAAATTTAACATTTATAATAGGAAAAAAGTACATAACACCACATAACAAAAACACACATTGATTGGTTTTCAACGTGAATTGTATGGTATAGTGTAATAATTTGGAGAAAAACCTAAATTATTGAAAATTTGAAGTACTATTTTGTAAGTACAACTCTAAAATAGTATGGAAAATAAGATTACTCTCTATATTTGGAAAAAAAAAAGTTTACATCATTTTGGAATTGAATATGGAATGAGGTTAGAAAGAATTTTACTTCAAAATGCATTTGAAATGAGATTTGGAGTGAGGTTGGAAATACCCTAAAGATTTGTAACGAAATGGTAGCATTCTTTTGGAGTCTCCTAGAAGCTTCGACCAACTTGAGTCTAGGGAGGTTATCAAAAGAAAAAAACTTGAATCTAGGGATATTAAAATGGGTCAATAAAATGCTTACTGTTTTGGTCATATTTCTTATACTAATCAAACAAATAGTCATAAAATCCTTAAGCAGAATTTATTCATTGACTAATAAATTTGATTAATTGTTGTTGAAGTCACATTTATGTATATAGAAACAAAATCAGATTGATTTTGATTAAAAAAGAGATACTACTAGTTGGGCAAGGGCTTTTACTTCTCTTAAATTTATAGAAGAACTAGATTTTGACCCCGCGATAAGCACGATT